ATGTGATCATTAACGCGTCAGAATTTCCAGTCGTACAGCTACGCCTTTCCTATAGTACCTAAGACATAAAGAAACAACAGACATCATGGTTTTTAGTTTTTTACTGTTTTTAGATTTTCCTAAGCCGCAAAAAATAGTTAGTGAATGAATGGTTCGTTCATGTAGAACAGCATAAAAAACAACGAAAAAACCATTTATCGAATCCCATTGTCTTAACTTATAAGAACAAAGAAAAACAATAATAGTTAATCTCTACTTCTATGATAAAACAGAAAAAAATATAATTTATTAAAGAATTTTAATAAAAATATAAACACATAAAAGAGGATTTATATGTGAAAATAAAATAATCATGCTTCTTAATTAGTAATTACCTTAGGTGATAGGTATCTGGTATATCTTCTTTATTGAAACTTGTTTGATCCTATATTCTATAATGTATACCTATACTGGCTATTACCTATATTATGTACAATGATACTGTGTATCAAAAATTGTGGGTTATGCGGTTATATGTTATAAATATTTATAACCTATAAAATATGAACTTTGATGCGCATGACGATCGACCAGTGATATATTTTATAAGTTTAAATTTAATATATTTAATTTTAAAAAATGGTATTCATCATGAACGTGAAAATGTAATACATTATATCCATAAAATTTATTTTTGCAATTTTTAATACAATAATTGGAAACATTTATCGTATTTATAACGTGTAATATTCACATGTATGTGCACATGACACATGTTGATGCAAGTTACTTATTTAAAATATATTTATAAACGCATAAACATGTGTATAGGAACTATAATGGAGTTTTTATGAAATTTAAAATCTGTTTCACCGATCCTTACAAACTGTTTGAGATCTCGAGTTGATAACTATTTCCGGCAAAACGTCTAGTCATTAATACCAATTGTATACTATAAAAGCACAAAGTTAAATATAGGTTAGGTTGATAATTTGAGTGCAACAAATGAAAGGCGTCGAGGCTATTATATATATATTGTACGAATAGATCTGGAGAAGACCGGATGGAGGATATACCTAGCGTCCTAGCTAGTAAATAATAATAATAATATGTAGGCATCTATATACGTACAGAATGGAAGGTTAGTTTTAAACCTCAAAACGACTGATCGCCAATCAAGCAGAAGAATTTATACGTATACGACGCATCGGCCGTACACAGGTGACGATATTACAACAGCTTTGGCGGCCCGTCGTCGTCGCGATTGTGCGGCGCACACAAATCTTGCAGATTGTTCCTCGTCGTCGGGCAGCGAGTTCTTGGAAGCAGAGAGCGTCGCATATCCTGTGTGCACATAATAACAACATTAAAATATTATTGTATAAGTGTATATGCACACACACTCGGCCACTTTATCGCGTTAAGGGTGGCCCCGGACAACACATGCCGGCAGACACTTCTACCCCACGCGCGCACCCCCTCACCCTGCGACCCCCGGACACCGCGGCCCGAGCGGGTGTATTATAGCTATTTTTATGGCGAAACACGCGGAATTAACACGTTTGGACGCACATCGGTGCGGACGGTTTTACACTCGGACGGACGCGCATAATGGCTCGCCGCCTTATGCACACGCAGAGTAACCGGAGATGTAACCAAACCCCATTGTGCCGGTGGAGGTTATCCGCAAAATATTTTATACACACACCGCGAGCCAGTTATAATGGGACGACAGTATAATAATATAATTTCATCAGCGGGCCGTATTTTTATTTATTTATATTTTTCTTTTTTATACTTGGGGGTACGTTTTTAAAAACCCAATACAAAACGCGCATAATGGATTTACCCTCGGATTTGTCGGCCGATACATTATTATCGCTGGTATTATATTATTATATTATTATTATTATTATTATCATCATCATCGTTATATTGTATTATTGTATTGTGAGTAGGCATATAATATTATTATATACACATAATACACAAGCGCGCACACAAGAAAAATACATCTCGGGCGGCGACGCATGTACCTATCAAGGGATGGATGCACGCGCGCGGGAGCGTTATTTAAGGTAGCCCGACGACGAGACCTCAGCTCGGTCGTCCTTTTGTGTTCATCACGGACGCCCCCCCCCCCACTGCAGCGGCGACGACGACGCGCGCGTAAGACGCGTCCAATGCCAGTGGTGTCCAAAACGGTTCGCCGGCGCCGGGTCCGCGACACGACCGCCGGCCGCGCGTTGGCAACCCGCGGGCTCGTTAAGAAATAAGAAAATCTCTTTCCCCATATACGCGCACGACTGCGGCACCGTAAAATGTTATAATTAAATATGCGCAGTCGTCGGGTGCGCGCACAGAGGCTGCTGCTGTTGCTGGAAACCGACCGACTGGAACACGCGACTGTGGCGGCGGCGGTGGCGGGGCGGCGGTTTTGCAGATGCTGCGTGAAATCATTGTCTCGTCTCACATGGGTCGTGTCCGTCGTCGCCCCATAGCCCGCCAAGTCGTGGCGCGGCCCGTGTCACACACCCGCACACACCCACATACGCACAATATATTTGACGTTGTTTAATGTTTATTTATGTGCAAAGAATGTAATGGTGTATTATGTTATAATACGATCCGCGTACTCGACGACGACGTCGAGGTAGCTGCAGGAGAATAAAAATCGAGAAATTGATTTGTTACCATATCCATTGTCGATGTGTTTCGATGTCGTTCTCGTACATAATCCAACAACACAATATCATAAACTTATTTGACTTTTAAATAGATAAAATAATATATTATAATTTATACGTGGATGACAGCGTGGCGACAACATTATATGGCCGTGGAGGCATTTTTCGTTCGAGGATAGACTGTTGTCTTTCATTTCAATATCCAATTTCATTAAAATTACAACTTTTCGATTGTCTATAAAAAAATTATGCATTTATTTTTATGTTTGTTAATTGCTTCAAGTACAACTTATATGGGACCTTGTATTTATATTATCGTATTCTGTTTTATCCGAGCGTTACATTTTTAATAACGGCTATAGAAAAAAACTAAAAAAATTCGAAAATTTCAAAAGCCTATGAATATAGATTGAAAAATTAGTTTAGAATTTTAAATTTTCATTGTCTGTAAAAAAATATAATAATTTAAGAAAATATAGATTTTCCAAAATATTTTGAATACCATCGTAATGAAGATAAATATTTATTAGTTAATAATTAATATAAACTTATGAATATACAATATTCCAATGTCGTTGAAATATAAACTTCAATCGCTCATAAAAAATATGTGGTTTACGCTAAACTTACTACCTAATATAAATTAGGATGAAAATATTAAGTCTCTTCAGTTATTCATTTTTGAATAAATACAAAAAACAAAATCGATTTTTTCAAAATCTGGTGTTGCTCAAATATTCTTGAAATATCATTAAAGGTATAAATAAAGCTGTATTTAAAATTGCATAAACTTATTTAGATATAATACCGAAGGTTTGAAAATTAAATAAATTTATCATCCTAAATTCATAAGTTTTCTAATAAAAATTTACAACAAAAATAGGCATAAATCCACTTTAAATTTTGATTCAATTGGCCTAAACCACGATTTTTTACTAAACGATTTTAATTCAAAAAATAGTTTCCGTGGAAACTAACATTCCACTGTTACTTAAGTTTTAAATAAAGATGTTCTATACTCAGTAGAACCATCAAAATATTCAGAAAAATTGTATGCCACCTATTTATTTTTAATTTTAATATCTAAGGCCTGAAAATGTAATAGGTTTAAATGGTTCTACATTAGTTTTTCTTATAACCTATACAATAACTGGAATTGTCCCAATGTCCTATTTATAGATTCTGAAATCAAATGTTTATTTTACGTCTACATTATAGGGTGGTCCTTAATCCTTATTAGTTATTCATATACTATAGTGTCGGTTGATTTTTTTCAATGTTCCATTTCATTTTTAAGCTATTATTAAACTGTTGTCTCAAAATACACGTACATATCTTACAACAGGTACTATTTATAAAAAACCTAAAGAGTATTGAGTAGAGGATACTCACGGCCCACTGCAGGTGTTTGGCCGTAGGGGTTGGCCATTTAATACATAATATTATTGTGTCTATTAAATTAACAATGTGACGAACGTGTTACTCGAATAGTCGGATGGATACCAGTCACGTACATAATATAGGAGCCCACTACCCACCAAGGTGGACGCGTCGGTAAACAAATCGAATAAGGTACGTGTAGAAAATAAATAATAATAATTAGGTTTGGTAGAACAGGCTGTATGAGCAATACAAGCCGATAATGCATAGCAAAAGGAAGGGATGAAAGCGGTTTTATATGTGTAGAATAAACGATAGATGGAAATTCGTAAACCGTGAATAGGTATATACTTGTTTGATATTTATTATAGTAAATAGTCGTGTTCAAACATCCCTCCTTGCCATAACAGTATTATCCCTTCCGGTGTCCGAGAGAATAGCTTAAAAAAATAATAACAGGCATGTTGGAATAATAATTAAATAATAACAATAAAATAAACGAACAAAACGACACGATGGGGGACCGTGGTGTGTTTGGACGCGGTGACAAACGGAAATCCTAAGCAAACAACAATATTATCCCCGTCCGCGGAATATTTGCGTTTCGCCTTATTTATCCGTCATAGTCGCGTACATCGTACCGTCGTATTTGCAGTGGTACGATGGTGGGCAACAAGTAATAACAACAATAATGACGATGATAACAATAAATAAACAATAATAACAAGTAAATAACTCACCACGCGTGGGGAGGAGGGGGTGGGGTGCAGCGGCGAGCTGCTCTTCGGATGCGGAGACGGGTCGCGCGACGGTCACGAGCAACAGGTCCCCCCACCACGACGGCGGCGGCGGCGGCGGTCGGTCGTCCCGCGATAGCACCTGTGCGTGTGCCCGCCCCGTGGCTCGCGCGCGTTTGATGTATGCGTGTGGTGTGGCGCGCGTGCATGTGTTGCGCGCGTGTGCGTGTGTGTGCGTGCGCGTGTGCGTGTTCGAACGCGCGCGCGACCGTCTTCATTCCGCTGGTTTTCGGCACGGAAGCGCCAAGTGACGACCGCGTCGCGTCCACTCTTCGGCAGCAGCTCGCACCGACACGCGTCGCCTCCCGGTGGTCCTCCGTTTGTCCGTCTCGTGTACACGCGCGCGCGCTTGAGAGTAGTACACTCGCAGTACCGACGTCTGCAAACTTTGTGTTCCGCACCGATCGCATTTGCAACTGGTCGTTTTTTAATTTGTCCGTTTTTGTCGTTTATCGTCGCCATTGTTTTTTAAATACCCGGTTTTTTTTTTTGAAGAAGAAAAATACAAAACCATGACTTCCGGAGTGGTGGACGACGATCCGCTGCAGTCGCAGCGCTCACCTCTGGCCACCGACGTCTGCAGCCAAAAGAAAATAAACGAAAACAATCGAAGGGTGAGTTGGAATACAATTTAAAATAATATTTTAACTGTAGAAAAATTACATAATATGCGTTACGTTAAACAGATATTAAATCATAAATACACACCGCGATTGTGCTTTTGGGTTTTCGGTTGTTGAATATAAGAAAAAAAATTATTTTTTTACTTTGTTCGTATAGTATGGGTAATGTATTATAATTGGACAGATACTTACCGGTTTGGTAAGTTTACAGATGATGGGTGGTGTGTAAGAAGTCCCTACTCGAAACACATCATAATAATTTATGCCTATTTGAAACTTTTTTACTATTAATATTTTGTATTCTAAATATTTTAAAACGTTAAAAATGATTGTACTAGTTGGATATTTTTTTAAATTTTGATTTTTTTAATACATATATGCCATAATGTGATTGGACTTCAATAAACTGCGGGGTTGTCAGGATTAAATACATATTATCAGACATTAGAATAATTGTCAAAAACAATAATATTTAAGTAATAATTTAAGTACCTACCTAATAATGACTATCTAATAACTACAATAACAATTACCATAGAAAAGCTTATTAGTTTAAACAAGAATTCGTTTTTGTGAATAAATTATATTTTGATAAAAATTATATTATTATTTTATTATTTTCATTTTTGCTACTAATTTAAAGTTTTCAAAGTTCATATATTGATATTTAAATATTTTACCAACTATACTTATTTTCTAACATATTTTGTTATAAATTACTTTTTTACAATACATTATCTAACATTTTTAATGATAATGAATTATATAAATTCAGATTAATCCAATAACAAAAAATACCTTTGTTGCATAATATTTAAATGTTGGATCGTTCTCACACTCAAAGAAAAACTGTCAACATATATATCAGTATATCACTATATTTTACTTTTTATAGTATAACAATAAACGTAATTAATATTATTTTAATTTATTTTCAAATTTAAATTCGTGTTTTAAGTCCATGTTTTAAAAAAAATATTTAAGAAAGAAGAATGAATATATTTACAATATCATAATAGAAAATGACGTAAAATGTAAATGACAGTTTATTAATAGCTTCACAAGTGTAACACTTAGTTGCCTAACAGCTAACATAATATTTACAATTTACTCAACATAATTTAAATTTATATTTTATACATTACTTATACAACTATTTGAGGGGGGCCAGGGTGCCAGAGTGGGATATATAAATAAATACTAATATACTATATTGCAATTAAAATTATAAATTCTGATCTGTCATATTTTATTTTATGACGCGTAAAATGAGTTAGGGATAGGCAGCTTCTTATACACACGTGCCCCATAATATACATTCATTTTGTGGATGCGGCACTCTTGTAGTTCGCAATTAGAACTTGAACTATTTTTAATGCACCCAAGAAGTAATAAACCTAATTTTACTGGTATTTTTAACCAGGGGACAGAGGGATTTAATATATTTTAACCTAATTATAAATAAACCACGACGTAGGAATTTTAACTGTTTAAATAAAGTGACTTAAATTATCTGACTTGTTGGAATGTAAATAAACTTAAGGTACCAATTTGTTTTCTAGAGCAACAAACCAATAATGGAGAAAAAAAGAAGAGCACGAATAAATAACTGCTTAAACGAATTGAAGACTTTGATCCTAGATGCAACTAAAAAAGACGTAAGTATAAATAGTTAGAACAAAAAATTATGAAAATATACAAGTATATTAAATTATTTATTTTATTTTATAGCCAGCTAGACATTCAAAATTGGAAAAAGCAGATATATTGGAAATGACTGTAAAACACTTGGAATCTATGCAAAGGCATAATGTAGCTTTATCTGCTGCTACCGAGTCTACAGTAGCCAACAAATTCAAGGCTGGATTTACAGAGTGTACAAATGAAGTAATCCGATTTCCCGGGCTTGAACCTCATGTTCGTAAACGTCTCATGCAGCACTTGAACACATACTTTAATAAAGAAAGTGGTAATAACAGTCCAAAAATTCTTTCAACACCTCCAGAAACATCAAATCTGCAATTACATCTGGACTCTAACCAAAACGCTATACTATTGGGCACCACTGGTTCAGCGTGTGGAGTTCAATTTGTTCCTACAAGACTATCCAACGGTGATATTGCTCTGGTTTTGCCATCTAGATCTACCGAAACATCACCGCCCCCACCACCCCTTTCCATGATTGTACCAACACCGCCATCCACTCAATCTGATTCTTCTGATACTGAGTCGCCTATGCCCGATAGACCTTCATCGTGCTATTCAATGGGCAGTACAGATAGTACAGATACATACAGCCAACCAGAACTGCCCCTAGCACTGGTTACCAAACACAGACGAGATGACGAACAGTCAGATTTGGAACAGCCCTGGCGGCCATGGTAGGAATAATTTATTTTCTGGTTCAACAGGATACTCTCATTAATTAAGTGTTTTTATTTTTATCTTCAAAATATGTGTACTAAATATATTATTTTTTATCCACCAACTTACATCGAAATATTTCTTTGTGCCATACATTTTAAATTTTAGAAATTGTTTATTAGAAGTAAAGGCTGGTAACGCATAACTATTCCATTAGACAGATAATATTTATGTTTTTTTTTCTGCATAATAGTTTGAGAAATCCCCAATAAACATTTGACTTTTAAATTGTAAGGGTTTTTTAACAATAATTGTACAACAGTAGTACCTAATCACCAAGTTATTGAAAGAAAACAGGGTTCGTGCAATTACTGTGTTGATTTAATTTCAAGATCAAATATTAAAATTGCCGGGCATTAGTGCAACATATTAAGTTATCAGTTTTAACGGTTAATTCTTATTCATGTTTATTCTTGATTAATGAATATTTCAATAATTATATTTTAATTGTTTTGTTCAATCGTATTTACTTACATGGTTATGCTTTATTTATCAATTGTATTAAAAGTTAATTTAATTTGTATTTATTTATATATTTAATCATTTTCTTTATAGATCAAATACTTAGCTTAAAGCTTTAATAATAAGAATGTAATATATTTATAGAAGTGTATGGCTTTTGAGTTATATGACTTGAAATGTAAAACTATTTGTTTCTGTTAAATTATATAAGATTGTAATTTTGTATTTTGTATTATAAATCTTAAATTAGATAAGAAAAAAAGATACATTTACAGCAATAATTGCATTGTCTTCCATTTGATTGTATCTCAATGGGCTTACCTGTTATTTACATGTTTCTTTATTTTAATATTGTGTTATTCGATTATATGAAATATATTGTAAGTAATTTTTCTTGATGTTTAAGAAATACAATTATGTTATTATAAATGAGAAAAACGTGTTTAATTATTGAGATGAAATATGAACATCCTCTATATATAAACATACGTAGTCTACTAGTCTGTCATTTGGACTAGCCTTTTCCTAAACTTTTTTATCAGAAAATTTACAGTTTGGGCTGTTTACATATTTTGCGTTTGAGCGTGTAAAATACTAAAGTAGACCGTTTGAATGAGTAAAATAAACAAATTATAGGTACGTTACCAATCGAAACTACATTAAGTTTTTGTACTTAAGCGTGTTTTAGCAACCTATACACGATCAATATTATTAATGTCAATAAATATCAAAACCATTTAGATATTTTCAATATTATTGAAGTACCATCAATACAACCAATACACAGTCAATAATATTCATCATGTATGGGCCGCTATTAATACCTATCGCTGCTGTGTAACTACTATGTTTAATGTTGGCTGTCGTGTTGTTGATATCTACTGAGTTTCATTAAATTTTAGGAAGTTTAATTAAATTTAATAGTGGGTGTTAAATTGAAAGTGTTGAATATGTGTTATTGACATCGATCATTTAAGTATAGCGGATCAAATAAACTTTTTTTAATCAATAGATCCCCTCGACCTTTTTTTCAATGTTGAAGATCTGATTACCATAAATTATATTTTTTATAATCAAATAGTGCATGATAAAAATCAGCCATACTTACCCACCTCCATCATGACAAAATAATTTGACCGCCACTGTTGGTAAGTCCCAATTTTGTCGACTTTGGACACGTAATGACGTATAAATAACGATTATGTTTAAACGATTTTAGTTATTTTTGTTTGGCGCTGCCCGTCTATTTTTGGCTGCTTCGACAATTCCAAAAACTTGGTACATTCCAATATTATTATAATAATATAATACCTATAAGTAATTTTAATCCGATTGAAATGGAAATAGTAAATATTATTTAAAATTAGAAAAAAATAGTATTCGATTTTAAACACAGAATATTTGAGATAGTTATAAGAAAGATTAAATACTACTTTTAAATTACTTTTTCAAAAGTATTTAAAACTCGTCATATTTGAGTACTTAAAAAGGACCCATTTGAATACGTTTGAACAAGTACAATACTGCCATTTACACTTGTCATCTCATAGTATAGTCAAAGGCCAAATCAAAGAGAATTTACAAATCTACCTTGTGTAAAATATACATGTTGTGGAAGTCTAGTAGGTAGTGTGCGACCATAAGACCATATTAGGTACATGAGACCATAGACAAGACATTGACCACATACCAACATTGAGGAAATTCTGTAGCGGAAATTAAACGTTGCAAACGTTTGATAACGGAGAAATTCGGACGGTCTGTTTGCTAAACGAAGCTGCAAACGTTTGCAAACGCCATGATCCAGCTTTGGCCTGTTTAGTTCTAGTAACCAGAACCGTGGTCAAATTTGTTTATACTTTTGCCATTATCGCTAATGGCTATTACTATATTATTCATCACCTATTCATATTTATAATGACTTATCACGACTTTGCATGTCTTACACCACGGTTACACAACATACCGCACCAAACCAAGAGCTCACGAATTTCTACCTCTCAACGTTTCAAACGTTGGCGTTCGTACTGCAAAACGTTTTCCGCTACAGAATTTCCTAATCTACAAGTTGAGTTTATTAAACGCTAAACCAGCGGTTCCCTGGATTAGGGGTCCTGGACTAAGAATTAATATGATAGGAGACCACTTTTTTTCTGCGCAAGTTTCAACCTTGTTTAGTCATGAAAATAAAGAAAACATTCTTTGCCGTGTGTATTGTCCAGTCGAGCTCGGACTCCCGAACAGGGACTCGCAGCCGGCAGGGTCCTGGAGGAGATTTCACGGATGCGCTGACCATCTATTGGGAACCACTGCTAAACATTGACGTTGTAGTGCAAACCCTCTGCTGACTCTACTTCATTCTACGGTTACAAACAATAAATTAAATGATGCATAATGCAAAAAATAATTCTTGTTTATATTTTTTACCAAGAACCGTCGGGTGGCACACAATGTGACAAAGTATAATTTAATTTACTTATGTATATTATAAGTTGTTTTATTTCTTTGGGTTTCACCTGCATTTATGTAATAGCCAATTGGTGGTTAAGCCAATAAGTACTGAGCAGACGCAACAGAAAATTCTAAATAGCAGTTGTAAGTACCTATTTAAATGCGATGCGGTGTACAAGACGTGTACAACTATATACAAAATATCGTTTATGGCCGATTCCTACAAGGTACTTATAAACGTACCTAAATATTAATTATTACAATATACACTGTATGAAAAATAGAGTCGGTGAATTGGAATAGCCATAAAATAATTATTTTGTCATTTACTCGACCTAGGTAAAACCAAACCAATATACTTGAAAGCGACCACAAAACATATTATTTTCCTTTAATTAGGTACCTACTTAATTAAGACACGTCAACCGAACTCTTCAATTAAACAATTTTTTTCATTATAAAATAGCTGTAGATATTACCTATACAGTATTAACCACCGCAAAATATTTGTAGGTACATTAATATGGTGATAACTAATAAATGTGGTCTGCATAAGTTACCAAAACAAAATGAATAACCTAGCAACATAAATATTAACGTACGTTATTATATTGAAATAATTAATTGATACGAGACAACAACAATTATTATAATATTATTGTTGTAAAAAAAATGCATAATAATAATATCATAAAACCGGTGAACTAGTCCTTGTGTCCAATTGTACATGAATCCTTCGATTATACATTCACAACCGTTTACTATTTGCAGATAATGACAACATGGCGTACGAATGTACGATACTGTTTTGAGTTTTCCCAGTCATTCGGTTTACACCGGACACGCCAGACAGATTATAGTTTCAAGAAATATTGTCGTAGGTCTCCGTAGAGACGTTAACATGGTTTCCTCTTACTTTACGTTACTAATAGTTTTGCTTATCGTATTTGTTTACACCAAACACACGGTTGCTCGGACGAAACCATATTCAAAGCCCAAGTCATCGATCAGTAAGTTTATTTTGTTTGAAAAAAATTTACCCAGTTGTTATTAAGATGACTGAAGGTTTCCTCGTTAAAAAATTGAAATTCGTATGATAGTTTGATGATTGCGGGATAATACTTTACTGTTTTACTAGCAGTGTTCCTCAATACTTTTGTCTTCAATTTATTGAATAAAATCTCAGATACCTTTTAACTTTAATATTATAATACATAAGGAGTCCATACAAATATTATGTTATTTTAAACATGTATTACATATTATCATTGATAATCTACGGTTAGGTAGACATTCATATGACATATTATATTATGCGCAGTGAGACGTGGGTAATATGCTTTGTATATAGTATATGTAGATATGAAGATTCTCCAATTTGTATATTAATTTAATAATCGTACTCGTACAACAATTGTGGTAATACTTGCTTAAACAGTTTTCTAACGGAAGTTAATAAAAAAATGTTTATTCGGGTGATTATTATTATTACAGTAGATACTTTTACACCTATGCCATATATACCGAGTTTTGTATTCAGGTTTCATATTCCTATCTATGAGTATACCCACCTATAATAAAATATACTGATAAACGGCATACGAAGGAATCAAAATTCCGATTTTATCAAATTGTCATAGATACACGATAAACCCACTTATCTTCATGTGCTTTATACCAGTTATACCTACCACCTACGTGTTTCGGTGTTGGTTTTTTAATCCTGGGTTGGAATTATAATTCAGTTTTCACATTTTTGAATTTGTTGAAGCACAATATTATGTATTATTTAAAGTGCATGTTTTGCTATGAATATTTTTGTAAGGAAAAGGTACAAAAGTGTTTTATAAAAACTCTTACACCACTGCAAAAACGGAATAAATTTATTTTTATTATTTTTTAAATATCAACTTTTATTATATTTTGTTCGAAATTAAAAATTAAGTTTAAGAAACATAAATCTTGTTAACCGTTAGGACAATTTTTTAGGGATTTTTAGTGTACTTCTAATATATTTTCAAGAGCATATTATCTGTATAACGTTTTTTTGGTTATGTTCGAAACTCGAGTGATAATGTTTTATTCTAAGTCTAACGTTCAATGACATTATATTACTATCTATATTTTACTAGATATATTTGGGCTTCGGGAATAAATACTTATCATATCCTTGTTGAATTCTGGTCATTTATTAGTGCAATATATAATATTATACACATTTTATTTAAATATATCATTTAAAAATAATGAATAACAGAAGTTCAGATTATTATTTTGCTATAAATGAAATTAAACATTTATTTTTTTGAAATTATGAATATTGTGTGTATTGTATCTATTACATACATA